AATAGGGCTAAGCAGGAAAAAAAATGAACATCTGAAGTTTTAATTCCCCCTCAGAATGAAACCAAGTATTGTTTTCAACTTTTAGGGAAAGAAATAAAACAAGCTTATCTAAGAGAACACAATACCAAAAAAAATCTCAGCATTGGTATGGCCATGGTTTACACCTTGAAATAAGTGGACCTCTACAACGTGAATGAATATAGCTCATATTATTTCCTCCACTTTTCTCCATATTAAATTATCATATTATTCCATAAAAGCAGTTGTAAAAAATGTGCTGTTGTATGCTCAAAATCAGTAGCAAGCTGTTTACTAACACTTTAGAAATTATTTAAGAGTTTTACATAACTTTCCTTTTCAGACAATTAAAGATTTTACAGAAGAAAATGAAATGCTCAGAATTATGCGAGGTTATGAATAGGGATGATATAATTACTCCATACTCAATTAATGTGTAGTGAATTTTTCTTACCAGAGGGTGAGCCATTGTAGTGGTCTCAGAAGCCATGGTGTATAATATTAATCTAACAAAATATGTTCTACCTCGTACCTGGAAATCCAGTTTCGTAAGTATGCAGAAGCAATACTGAAAAGTATCAAGCTAAACAAATTCACCATGGGAAGTGCTAGCATGCTATAGCCCATAACAAATTTACGTCAGAATCATTTCAAAAACCAACCAAAGTATTGGAAATAGCTATTTATCTGCACCTAAATCCCACAAATTTTAGTACCGTAAAGGACAATTGTTAAGTTTATGCAACAATTTTTTATATGAGATAATGTCTTTAAAAAAGGAATAAAAAGATACCACAGAGGTATTCTATCCAATTAATCAAAATTGTTCTCCCTCTGTATAATCCCTGGGAATTTGAGTTGTGCCTTAACAATGTATTACCCCTCACCAGATAAGCATATTGGCTTGTTACTCTTGAATATGAATATTGAGCAGTGTCTGTACTTAGTAATTAAAAGTGCCTCGACACAGCAGAATTCTTAGCACGATGCGAGTACTTGGTGCAAGGGACGCCTTGCTACAGCGGGAAAAGCCTTGGTGCAGTGATCAGCTCCCGCCAAAACTAGCAGCTGCACTGTTTGGATGCATGCTACCGATTGGCTCATTGTAAATTATTCATACCCGGCGGCTAGCAATTGGCTCACTAGCTGTATAAAAGCTTGGGTAGTTTCCGCCCAAGTCGGAGAACTCTGCGTGTACGTTGGGAACGAGTTCCTCGTGTACCTTGGAGCAAAATTGGAGGCCTGATCAACCACCAACCACTCCCCGTCGCCGACCGTCCCGACGTACCCAGCACCCTGCATGCTCGGAAAACATTGGTGTGCCACCCGGTTTCTTTCTTTTGTTTGTAACCTGTACGGAGCGTGCCTACACTGTGTGCATCGACGCAAGTCCCTGTATGCCAGTTTGTAAGTAAAGTTCTTTTCAATTCAACCAGTACGCGTTTGTTCCTAATTCCACTCCATCGGTGCGGCCCCATTCCGGCTATACTTGACCCCCACAAGCAGGAGGGATATTTATTTATTTTTATGTTACATGCCAAAGAATAAATGGGAAGGAAAAATATAACAAAACCAGTCAACAAAAGGGTGAAGACACACCCACAGCTTATTAAATTTAGCAGCATGTGTAGAGACACATACAAAGACAGTTCAGATAGAATCTAAGTGTTTCTGGATTAAGAATACTGACAGATCTGGCCAAGTTTTATTTTAATTCCATACAAAAGCTATGCTAAATGAATATTATCACTATAAGGGAACATACTGAAAAGTCAGGAAATGAGAGAGTCTAACCCAGTCCAAATACACTTCATGATATATACTTCAATTACAAGACTGCACTGTAATGCTTTTATATAGTTCTTAAAATTCAAGTCCAGGATGGGATGTGCCCAGGGAACAAGATAACTGTTTGGACCTTATGCCTAATCTCATTGTGCAGCTTGTGGTCCCAACGCTTCATTTACAACAAATCTTACCCAATTCATGGTTCAGTTTGGACACCTATTTCATTTAGTGCATAATGTAAAGAGATAAATAAGAAGGTATGTAGTCAAAGATGTCCATAATGCATATACAAAAGGGAAGAGTTGACAAGAAATATTTGCTCAGTCATTTGGAAAACTTGAAATCATCATTGAAATTTCCCTGTGGAGCTGCCTAGGAATTTTTGTTTGATTTGGGTTTTTTTTAAAAATGGAAAGAAGGGAAAGAAGGGATTCCATTATATGTTAGAAAATGATAGTATTTTTTTCATGTGGGAAAATATCTATCTATCTATATCTCATGTATGGATGGAGAATGTGCTCCATTAAAATTCTGTCATCCTTTATGTGTACAGACACAAAAAGTACCATGTGCCATTTCCTATTCATACTAAAATTTCATTTATTACACAGAAATCCAATGAAAACTGAGAAACTTCTATTCAACTGAAATTTCTATTTTACACACACCACGCACACTTCATTGCCACTACAATGTTAACGTTTTTCAATTGCATAGAGGAAACAGTGTATGCACACATATTTAAAACATAAAAGATTAAAGCAAAACCATTTTCACTCAATCACCAAAAGACTGGTTAGTAAAATTTTATATTATTTATTTCTATAACTACTTGCTGAGTCACAAGAGCCATTTCTTTAAAAAATGACCAGAAATAATAAGAGAGTTTATTTCACAATTTCTTCCTCTTACCAATCTAAAAGAAACAAACACATTTTTTCTACTTAATTTGGTACACAAATTATGTTCCTACAAATAACTTGTTAGCCTATTATGATAAAGAGAGCTAGCTAAATGATTGTATTTATTTGCCAAGTCAAAGCTGTCTAACTTCTGAATGCCCATGGGCTGCTCACAGTGTAGCTGCCCCCCGCCCCCCACCCCCCCACTTGGGCAGCTAGGTCCCTTGAATATGCAGGTTCCCTGCCTCTCATGCACAGCCCACGTGTACAGCGCATAACCTCCTGCCCACATGGGCCACACTGCCCCACTTCTAGGGGCAGGGACAGGAAGCTGAAACTAGAGGGAGGGGAATTTCAGAGACTCCGGTAGAAATAGTAGCAGGTAGGAACCTTTGGGCCAGGTGTTAACTATTTATGGGCCACATGCAGCTCACAGGCTGCCAGTTGGCTAGCTTTGCTGTAAGTTAAAGCAATACTAATTGGCAAGCAAATCTTTAATACTTAACACAAATCAACTGACTGAGATAGTAAGGAAATAAGTTTTCTAGGCTGTGTAAAATTCTATTTTACAGGACAGTTATAGACAAAAGAGTAAATAAAAATGAAATTTCTTTACTGAGATTTGCTTCTTATGTGTATTCTTGTTCTCACCTATTAACTGTTCTGAGCCACATATAATTTATTTTTAAATGTTATACAGTTCATGAGTCTGGTGAGTTCTGATACATTATGAAATTGAATAGGTGATCATAATCATGAGTGATGATGTGTGAGGCAAAACATCGCTTTGAGACTATCAGGCTGTGGCTACATACAGACATTCAAATTTCTTCTGGGAGAGTCACTACTCTTCCAGTAAAAACAATGAGTGTACAGTTCAGGATTTTTCTCCCAGAGCATAAGTGGTCACTCCAGGACAAAAATAATCTGGATAGCAGCCAGGAGTAAATCACTCCCAAGAGAGTTTCTCCTGGGAGTGCAAATGCTTGTTCATATTCTAGTCTGAGAGGGACTACAACACATTCATTCCAGGGTGCTTTGCTTCCCCTCTGTTCTGCCTCCTCCCTACAACTCTCTTGCAGGAGGACAGTGTGTTACTTGATGCACTTAATTGCTTCAGCCAAGCAGGAAGCATCACAATTCCCATTTTGTACTGCAGGGAAACACAGGCTTACACTAAGAAGTTTGGGTCAGCCAATCAGGGCTGCCCTTTACATTGTTTCCATCTATCACCAGGCAGACTGAGGAAGCTAAGATGTGTGCACAGAAGAACCCTAGCTGTGCAACATTAGCCCTACATGCTCTCTGCCCTTCAAGGGTTCAGCATTCAAATGTCTGTTCATGTGCCTCCTGGTAAGTTTTCTACCAGAAAAACAAACCCAGCAGAATTATCCAAGTACATCTAATCATGTATACACAGCATATGTTACAAGGGATGACAGTTAGGGACAAAGAAGCTTGCATAGTGAGCCATAGGGATGAGACACAAGACCCCCCACCCATGATGACAAGTTTCCCAATATCATATTACATAAGAAAATCATGCTTTAGTCAATCAAGATGTACAATAAGCATACTTGGTAGCATCTGCTTATTATCTAGATAAAGGCTTACTGAGTCAGGAAATAACTTATTCACTCTATTGCTATCATCACTTATTCATAAGATTCATTTAATTTATTTCTTCCACCCACCTACAAACCTACCCAAATTGCAATGAATGACCTTTCTGCATCTATGTTCTTCTGATTCTAGGCAGCAATACCCATGTCAATCCTTAAGGAAAGAAAATAAAATATTTAGCTACTCTGACACTAGTCTAGTATAGCTGACCAAATATCAATGATTTATAGTATTCTGATTCTCACCTCTCGCTACCCTCATACCCTTAAAAAGGATTAAACTGTTTATATTTTTAGAGATTAATAATGATACGATGCTGGTGTTGAGTATCTGATTTTTTTCTCTATTTTTTCCATTTAGTGCATAGGTCTAGTATGCTTAGTTTCAAACCAGATCCACATGCTTAATCTATGTGGTTCTACAGCTCATGTACTTGGTCACTTCAAGAGGGAGCAGCAATAGACAAATATATCATAATATGAATGTATACAAAAAAGGCCCTGTCCACCTCTTAGTTTTAAAAGCATGATTAATGAAAAGACTATTACAAAGACCAAAAAAAAAAAAGCAACAGCTAACATCATCTCCATTTCCAACAGCTAAATCAATAGCCCCATTCACAACAGGTTTCACAGATGAACCAACCCAGGCAAAGTCGTGCATACTTACAAATTATAAAGCATATCAGCCATGTTGCTGCGGTAGTACAAGGCATTTCTATAGGCGCTTTCAGCTTCAGAAATCTTGCTCTGGCTCTTGAGAACATTTCCAAGGTTACCCCATGCTGCCAAGAGGAGAAAACAGTATTCAGAAAGAGCTACAATCCGATTATACATGACATAGTATCTGAATGTCAGGAAGTTCCACAGGGAGAAAAAACCCACAAAGAACCATTTTTATGGAACAATTCCCTCTCCCCCCAGCCCCCGCCCCTCCCCCCATTCCCCTGTATCATTTTATCTTACAGGGAGACATTAGTTTAGTAACAACAATCTGCATACATTCTGTCAAACTATAGTATTTCTGGCAAAAAAGATAATGTTTAAAAACTAAATGTTTAAGAGGACTTAAAGAAAACCTGTACTAGAAGACAAGGAATGTTTCATTTAATATCACCTTAATATAAAAACTTTCAGTTCACATATATACCTAGGGGGTCTTCATGGTTTCAGTTTGTCAAATACCTATGTGCTCTCAAGCCTCAAAAAGTCTTCCCATAGTAAACAGATTTTACTAGAGTATGTAAAAGTTGATAAATGACACAGAAATTGACGGAAAGGCAAGGAAACTAAACAAAATCAAAGGCACACAATATGGTTCTAAACACACTACACAGATCAGTAAAAATGCATTTTCTACTTAGAAGAACATGTGGTTCTTTACCTTACAATGTATTACAATATACAATGATCTGTTATATCATGCCTATAAAGCAGTTTGAAGTAAAATGTATTTGAGGCTCTGCAGATGTTCATTTTGAGAGTAAGGCTCCCTTAGTTGCAAAGAAAAATAAAAAGAGCACATGCAAACTAAAATGGAACAGAAGACATATAAAGTCCCCACTGCTCAATTTTTGAACATTTGATACAACTGGTACTGCAAGGAGATGATGTACCTCTATGTGCATGTAAAATAGTTTGGATTTATACATGTAGATGTTAAAGATGCTTGTTTCATCGAATGTATTCTTTATGATCAAGCATAAAGGATGACAATGTTAGATGTCTTTTCTACAACATACGGAGATATAGTCTCCCTTCATATGTATTAGCCATATTAGTGACATTAACACTAATAGAAGTTAAACAAGAACATGAGACATCAGGGCTAGGTACAGACATTCAAAAAGCCCAAGAATTAGAATTGATCTAAGTTGCACTCTTTTCTGTAATTGGTGTTGTTTTGATTGGGATTGAAAAGAACACATATTTGCCCTTTGGTGGTAGGGCAAATCTTAGACCAGGTCCCACCTTCTTGAAACCAGTCTATGTATGCTGAATTTCTGTTGTTATGGGTGTAGACCAGTTTTCATCACTTATACTGGCAAAAGTGTAATATTTGTACTTGGCCCAGATGTTCCTTCCTAACAATTCATCAAACCAATCTTACAGCTATGGGACACTGATATCAAGTTATTTCTTTCAGTGTATTGCTATTGGTCACAACTCCAGAAATCTAAATACTACAGCTAATTTTTATACTATAGATTCCTTTTCATACTGTTGCAATATATTTTTCAACAGAGCAATAATTATCACAAATACAATTTTTCTTATACTGCACACTGCTATTGTTGAGTTTACATCCAGCCACAGCAACAAAAGCAACAGCAACATTTTCCTCTGAGCAGAAGAGACTAAGCAGAAGCCTGCATAAAGAAACTATTGTGAACCACTGATGAAAGAAAACCTAAAAGCATACATGAAAACAAAATAAAACAAAACAAAAATCACACAATTTTGCACACAGCACTTTATACAGGTGAGGAGGCAAAACTGGATATTCCCATAAGAAGGAAATCTATTGCTTAGATGAGTTATTTCATTTCTGCCTAGGCTTTCTGATAAAGAACATTAACTCAACAAATCTTATTTATCTCCTCAGTAACAAGAGGGACTAAAGCTGAAAACGCACTCTCTCTCTTGTTTAACAAAATATAACTGCTAAAATATTCCAATCCTCCTTCATTCGGTGGGTTGGGGGGGGGGGGGGTGTTCACTCCATCATTCTTTTTACTACAGTTCAGAAGCCTGAGAATACAGTTTATTCCCTGACAGTACTGATCATTTTTTATGCATGATAAACATTATGGCCATGTCCAGATGCGCATGACTGTGCGGTATGTGGCACTGCAGATACATCTGTGGCGCCACATACAGCACATTCAGCTGTTCTCTGTACTCCAAGGCAGCAGCACACAGGGGCTTTTTTGACCCCTGAATATGCAGGGGTCAAAAAACCCTGCACGTAAAAAAGCAAAGCTGTGTATGCAGGGGTAGCGCACTCCGCCCAAACCCAGAGTCCGGCCAGCCAGAGCCAGGCTCCAGCCGTTGGCCAGGCTCTGAGCAGCAGGATCACCACTGTTGCAGCCCCAGGAGGTCCCCAGGACCCCAGGTATGGCTCCCCCGGCCAGCCCAGTGCTGGCCCCAGCCTCCTTTACCTCTCCCAGGGAAACATGCAGCACACCAGAGGCGGGTGGCACAGGCATTCCCCAGGGAGAACTAGCAGTGGCACACGGTGTGACATCATGGCTCTGACTACTTTGCCACCTGATAGGATACCAGCATTATTGGTACATCAGCAGAACACTGAGGCTTGTTAGTTAATGTACTCACTGTGAAGTTTAGTTCTGCCCTGCAGAAACACCATCTTAAAAAAGGATGTAGGTCCTCACAATCAATAGATTAAAATAGATTTTTTCCACTAATTCTCCCAGGACAGAGTAACAGACTGACTGATCATTTGAACTCGTAAAACTATCTCCTATTAAATAGTCTTTACCTGCCAAGCCATCCCAGTAACTTCATAAATCCTCATAAAAAGGACAATAATCCATCTAATATCTTTATATGTACTTCACTGTTACAGCCAATATTGTTTCATGGAGCGATTTAAAACTTTATCAAAATTCAAACTAGTACCAACTTTAAGGGAAATCAATACTAAAATACAGCACTGAAATGAGAAGATATAGACAAACACACTTTCTAACTTTTTTAAGAGGGGAAGGAGACCTGTTACTCAGGAGCTTGCTATACAGTCTAACACAGTGATGCTCAACCGGGGTGCTATAAGATTGCCATGGCACCTGCATCCTGTGCAAGGAGGCAAGCACTCTCTTTGCTCATGAACAAGCAACACTTGTGGCTATTCCTTTGAAGATGGCTACTGTCAGTTGCTTCACGCTGGGCAGCATGCTCTGCCATGGGTGACTGGACATGGGACCACAAGCCCAAGCTTTTCAGCACAGCTTGCTCCCCACTCCTTGCCCACACTCCCAGGGCTGGTGAGAGTAGTTATGGAGACAGATGACTTATCACCAGTATGCACGACTGGAGGAGCAGCTTTGGTGGTGTGGGCAGCACTTGGCCCCCTTAGGTACAGACCAGGGACAGGAAGAGGGCAGACAGGGAAAGAATGAGGCATGGTGGGATGGGGGCCTGTCCCCACTGCCCTCACCTGGCACCAGCTAGATCAGTGGTTCTCAAACTTTTTAGCATCAAGGCAAACGCCATGTCTTTTCTGAACTTAGATTCTAGCTCACGATCTCAACCAGGCACCACTATATTAAAAACTATGGAGGTATGCCTTGAGGCTAAAAAGGTTGAAAACCACTGATTTAACTCTTACATCTACATGATTCCATAGTAAAAAGTAAGATAAACCATCACCTGAATGAAATGGTATTAAAATTGCAACAGTTTTGGTGCACTTACCACTACAAAACATGCAGAATGATGCATACAGTTGTATCCTAAAACTTGTTCAATACATCTGTCCACAGCCAAATAATTCCTTGGTTGTCCTAGACTGCTCTCCATTTCATTTCATTTACAACAATCAATTGCTCTTTAACAGAAATCAAATGGTTATTGAAGAGGACACTTCATTTTAGAAGTCACAAGATGTTACTCACCAGATTCTTAATACAGGTTGAAATCTGGGTTTGTTTCCAATATGACACTAAATAACATATTTTCTCTACATACTTTTGCTTCACTTTGTATATGCTGACCAATCTGAAGGCAATCTAATCGGTCAGTTCCTATATTTATATTTTAAAAATGGGATGTCTTAGGATATCAGTCTATATCCTGAAGTCCTACTACCCTCCTATGTTAGTAAATGGAAACAGGACTAATCACATCAAAGTAAAGCCATGGTGTAGGCAAGTGAGAACAACTCTATATCTAGACAGCCACAAATGCAGTGGAGGCAAATGGAGATCAAATCTAGGTACAATACAGCTTACTATTGTAACAGTGTAGCATTGGCTACTTAGGAATGATTGACAAGGTATTTCCATGATTGAAAAGGTATTTCCAGTATTAATTACAATTTCAGCTTATAAAATGCTTTAATGTTCATGCTTTATAATTATATCCTGGATAAATGTTTTGGTTTTTATGCAAAACTGTCACAAAAATAAGTCAAGTATTTAAGACTGAGAGGAGAAGAAACAAAATTATACATCACAAATTATACATAACTGCACACTGTTCTGATACTCAACTATTTTAGGACTTTAAACTACACATAGCTACAATTTAGAGGCATAGTTTCAATACTAAATGGGAAGACAACTGGATTTGCAATTCTACAATTTTATGTGTGATATTTAAGTGGAAATGTATTAAATTTCCATAGAATTAAAAAAATTAACACTAAAAATCACTTAACATTCAGTAAAAGCTGAAGGTAATATATGTTATGATTCAGTCTTAAATTACCAAGCTATATTTTCCCCATAAGAACCTTTATTCAGTGCAAGGGCTTTTTGGTGTGCAGGGAATGAAGAAACTTAAAAATGTTGTCTCCTGCTTCATTCACTCTTCAATGTCAGTACTGAAAAGGATGAGGGTAATTTTTTAAAAACAGCATGTGGTCAGATAATTGCAAATAAATTAATATTCATGCATCAAACACACTTTCAAAGAGTATATTCAAAGTTCTGTCTTGTGGTACACAGACAGTTAAATTTCACTTCACATTCTTATGCACAAAACGTAGTCTGGCCCAACCAAATCACAATTTTACCAGATCATAAAACAATGCATATATAAC